GTCGACAGAAATCTCTAAGGTGTGTGAAACAAAACAAATCAGTTGTGTTGAGATTTGAATACTGTGTGCTTCAAATATCTGTGAAACTGAACCTTAAGGCTGAACCTTAGTGTCGTTACTATGACAACCAATGTGGACGTGCCAAGTGACCGCAGGATGAACATATAAAACAATGATGATTAATGTACACCACAGTTCAAAAGTTTTGGGGTTAGTAAGATTTTTCTTTAATACTTTCAATACTTCAGAAGCCTCAGTGAGCAAAATAGACTTCTTTCAAAAACATTTTAAAGTCTGACCGACCCCAAACTGTTAAACGGTAGTGAACGAACTGTAGTTTTGAGTTCTTAAATTCCTTTGTTAAAATAAATACATTTTTCATTTTGATCAGTTACAGTACATCACCAACAAATCTTTCTCCTTACTCAAAAACACACAAAATAAAACTTAATTTCCACATTTACGCTACCAAACAGTCCCATGCAAAGCATGCTGTCAAACTAGAAATTCAATGTCCAGTTTCAGATGTCAACAAAAAATGGATTAAGTTAAGTCCCATATTAAAAATGTATGTGAACTGGCATGGGGCCATTTGCATAAACAGCCACTAAATTAAGACGTCTTAAAAGTGTCTGACTTATAAAGTTAAGACCAGTCTTGAAGAAAACACATAGATGACTAACTTGTGACACTAGTCTTAGCAGTTTATGCAACTGGCCTGGCTGTTGTGACTAAATGTTTAAGAATTTTCACATTAACATTAAACACTAACAAGTCATTTCAACTTTCTAAAAAAACCAAATTAATTTCAACCTCTTCTCTCTTGATCCAGTACCGTGCAAAGCATGCTGGGAATTAGAAATCCCCAGCCCATTTCAGTTAATGCAACTAAAATGATTAATGTATTCCCAAAACAAATGGACTTAATAAACTTCAATTGCATAAATGTAAGTAGATTGAACAAAAACAAATTCAGTTGTAACAGAATGTCCAAGAATAAATATGCATTTACAAAGTACCAAGTTGATACGAGGGTTTGAGGGTTAAATCGATCACTTTGACACACCATCGTGCCATTATGAAATGAATGTCCATGCTATGTAGTATGTTATATCTCACACAATCCCACCCCTAAATGCCACGTAAGCAATATGATCACTTTAAACTCTCAGTCAAACCGCTCTTCTTGTCTAAGTGGGAGAACTATAATCTGCTGAAGTATGGACCAAATTAACTTATGACAAAGTTCTGGCAATGCAAAACTATATATTCATTATTGCAACAAGTAAGTAGGGGAAACATATATATGGAAGTAGCCAAAACAAATAAACAACAACCAATATGATTTATGCACGCATAGCAGCCTATATAACAAATAATTCACAAAGGTTGAATCCTTAGCTTAACTTTAAGCTTTGGTGTAAAATATTTGAAAAACAGCCCTGAAAACTAAAACAACTGCTACGTATTATGTAGCCCCGCCGCTTTTCAGCGTTGCGCTCGTTGTCTTTTGACATCCGGTCTGTATTTTCACAGCGATCTTGCATAGTTATGAATGAGCTGATCGTAAAATAAATTCCCGGTCGACATTTGTTAAGACATCTGCTTTACAATGCTTATGATAAACATTACAATGCTCATGATAACTTTAGTTAACTCTACAATAAGTAAATCCACTTCACCAGCTAATTACTCCTCGACAGCGATGCCATAGAAATATACAGAGCGAGCGACCGTAAAAACAGAGGTTTCAAAGACAATATTCAGCGCCCACGTTTCTCTGGTGCATTAAGTGCAACTGAGACGTTCCTATTTCCGAGTTGGGAGTTCATAATTACAACAAGTATCAAGTTGGATATAACACAGGTCAAACAAAGCTCGACGACGACCTGTAAACCTGTGCATACGATTTCGTTCTGGACTTTCTGCTGCACTTCCGGGTCGACCTGCAATGAAGCCGATGTGACTTACCTCAGATCCACCCGTTACACAGACCGTTTCATTCCACTGCTGGTTCAGCGGGTCAACCTGGTTAAGCAGAAAATGAAATGTACTTATTTACCACTTAAGAAACACATTAAAAAAATTCTGCATGCATCTAATCCCATATTCTGTCTTTTTTAAATGCATTTTTAGAGTATAGCATGTTTGGTATTTGATGTGTTTGAGTCTCAAAGATTGAAAGCTAGGGTCCTAAAAACTTCAAGACAGCTCTTTAAAAGCAGTAAATATGTCCTTATGCTAAATATGCAAATAGATCTTGTTGTGGCAGGCCTACTACATTATATGTTTATATAATATGCTGTCTTCTCTAGCTTTGGAGGAATTCCAGACACCCAAATAGTTGTGATCACAATTGTTATTTTCCCAGATTCTGGTGAGACATTGTTTAATCTCTTTCGAAATGTCTTATTTTAAAAACAAGCTGTTGTTTAAGAAAGTATTTCCATAGATATCTATGTAAAGACTAGATATCTCATCCGCGCTGCTGGCCAATGGAGGTCGACGTCAGCACCTGGCGGCCATCTTGTCACAGGCAGCTCGCTCACTGGTAACATTGTTTTAATGGTGCACGTACTTTTTAAATCACCGTAACTTGCTCAATTTTCTACCGATTTTCAAACGGCCTGGTTTGTTATAAACTGATACTGCATACTTATGAATAATAAGTGTATAAATAAATAATCATCCAGAATTATAGCCACGTTAATAACGTTTGTAAGAAACCAAACCGTTTGTAAATCCGTCAAGATTTCAACGAGATAAGAGTATTTCTTACATCAGATACCACAGAGCCCGCCAGAAAGCCTGTCTGTGACAAGATGGCCGCCGGTGATGACGATAAATACTCCACCGTGAGACATCTAGCCTTTATATAGATATCTATGAGTATTTCTATAAAACGGAATGTTATTTCATAAATATGCCCTTGTTCAAATGTTGCTGTTCTGACATTTTAAACTTATTTATTTTCAAGCTCAATAAAACTGGATATTTTAGCAGAGTGGGACAAACCAACTAACACAACAAAATATCACTGTGACAAAGTTAACCCTGATGGCAGTGTAGGCCCCTGTGTCTGTTTGGTTTGTATTCTTTTTATGAATGTTTGTTTCTCATTATTTGGTAACTTTTTTCTAGTCTGAGGTGCACATTAGACTGTTAAAAAAACACCAAGAGATTTATTTCTTGATTTTGGAATATACATACATCATTAGTTTTATCCTCATTTGCAAAACTAACCTTCTGGGTTCACGTCTGCAGCATGGCTTCCGAGGGGTGGGTGTCTAAGAGGGCGTGCCGCCTTCCTGTTCCTCATTTTATGCCATCCCAAAGAATTCTGGGTAGTGTAGGCATAGTCCATTTCTCAATGGGAGGAGGGGGGTTTTGTTTCATGTTTTATTGTGTTTATGTTCATAGTATGTAGAAATGTATTTGTTTATAATTTGTATTATTTTCCTTGTGTAATTAAGGTTGATGTCTTTTGATTATTATTTTCATTTTCAGTGTAGTTATGTATGTATGTGAACATTATTTAAATTCCCTACTACTGTAAAATGGTTGACCCTTTCAGTACAAAGGAATGTATGTTTGTCTGTGAAAGGAGTTCAGGGGCCTCATGTATAAACGTTGCGTACGCACAAAATGGGCATAGAAATATGCGTACGCATTTTTCCACGTGCACATCGGGATTTATAAAAAATAAACTTGGCGTAAATAAGTGCGCACCGTAAGGATGCTCTTGACCGTGCGTACGCACTCTTTTAGAAGATTATGGGTTTTGGCGACACCGATGGTGAGCTGGAGTCAAATGTCTTTTTGCTTACTATTAGACAGAGAATCTAAAGAAAATTATACAGCTACAGAAAGATAATACAAATATAATTTCACAAACCTATCATCACTTGAAGCAAACATCCATCCCTTCTTAAATGACCGCGCCACCACGCGCGTTGGGCCGTTTGGTGAAACTGACGCACATATAGCCTATAATCTAACGGCAGATGGAGTAAAACCGTAAATCTTCATTATGAGTCCAAATCATAAATACAGTCCATATTCACAATAATAGTTTAAATAAATAAAAGAATGGTAGGCTACTATGTTTTACTTCTGATATAAACATTTAGATTAAATATGCCATTCTCATTAATGGAGTTAAACTCTTAAACTACATGAAATCATTACTGAGAAGTTACAATATATATATATATATATATATATATATATTCAATAAATAGAAATAGACCTATTTGTTGTGGATGCATTGCTTTTGAACACTTTTCTTCTGGCATGCTGTGTTTTAATGTTTTAACTAGAGATTGTCTGAGAAAACTGTTTCGTGCAAATAATGCACAACCATGTCTATCTCTTCCATTAAAATCTCTTCCATTATCCATTAAAATATAAATCAATTAAAAATACTATTTGGCCAGTGGAAAAGATTGAGAAAAACTTTCTCTGAAATGTATTTAACACTATTTGATTTATTCATTCAAAAACAAGGCAAGGATATAGGCTACAAAAAAAAATGTTTGTAATAATGTGACGGCACATCCGCATTTCATATTTTCCTAACGTCTTGTACCGTTAAACTTGGTATCACGTGGATGAATAATCATATGCAAATGATATGCAGATGAGGATATGCATAGTAAAACTAGGCGTTGTAATCTCCATATATGGTTATTTCGGGGAGGAGACGCACGTGCGCATAATCTCCCGCTGACTGGGATTTATAAAGTGAATTCTGCGCAGGTTCTGGCGTACGAACGGTTTTATAAATCTGAAAACTTTTGTGCGTACGCAAATTCTGCCTTATGTGCGTACGCACACTTTAAGGATGAAATCTACGCAAAGTTTTATGCATGAGGCCCCTGGTGAGGAGGGTTCACCTTGAGTGGTTTTTGTTTATGTTATTTTTTATTCTTTATTTGGAAGTCAATAAAGATTTCACTGACTGTAAGCGGTGTTGTTCATAATCACATTTCTAATACTTGCAGGTGTGTTTTGTTGAGTTCCTCCAAAATGGTGTCACTTCCTGTAGGATATTGTCACTAAAGAAATTGATTTGAATTTAAAGTGATACTACACGGCATTAGCAGGATGGGAAGTGACGTTGACAGGCAAATGTATTACCATACAATATGGTTTATATCATATAAATAAAAAAATACCTGGAATATTCTGAGGTTTTCATTGTCAGAAGTGCATAGCCCCTGGGCACATGACTAAAACAGCATCTGAAACCAAAGTAGTGGAAGCATTTAATTGTGATATGAGAAAACTAATGTAATATCCATCTTTGAAAATTGTGATAATAAATATATATTAAGAAAGAAATTAAAATTGTGATGAAGTTCATGCAGCAGAGATTTGGTATTTTCTGTATCCAATAAGTTAGTTCAAGCATTACAAATATTAAACATGAACTCAAATCCAGCATGTCAGAATAAAAGTTCTTAGCATATATTACTTATTGTTTGTTATATGTTTAGTGCTTTAAAAAGTTCCTGATTCTAAAGTAGAAAACCCTTTACATTACATCCACAAATTTGAGTAGTTTTTGCCAGTAAAAATTAAGTTTTTTTTTTTTTTTTTTTTGCAATGCAGGTATTCCCAGCATGAACTGGGGCATGAAAAAATGATGTCACAGTTTGCATTGTTACTTTTATTGATGTTATTGTCAAGGTTGGTAACTGTTTACAAATTTATTTTCTACTCAAAATGATTAATTTTTTCCGCAAAAATAAGCCATTGATTACAATTATCCTGTTCTGTCATAAAGTTAAGAGCACGTATGACAATTGGACATTTTCTTTATTATTATTTAAACGTTTATATTGCTATTGCAATAAAATAGTACTTTAATACCTTTAATAAAAAAAAAAATAAGAAAAACATTCATTGAAAAAAGTGATATTTTTAGACTTTTTTATTTAAAACCTTTTAGTTTGTAGAATAACTTCACTAACTTTAGTCAGTATTATGTTAAAAAAAGAATTTACATAATGGTACTTATACATTTAAAATGAACAAAATGCATGCAAAACTAGCAAAATAAATCTTAAGTATAACACTGTAGTCATTTTTATAGAAATAACTGGTTGCACATGTTAATGTGAATTTTTAAAATGACCAATGCTTAAGCTTTAGAGAAAACAGACTAAGGCAACATATACTAGAATTCGAATCAAATACTAGGGAAAAAAAAGATAAAGATAGATTTAAATTGTGGCCCAAACAAAACTTTTACTGGTGTACCATGCGTTTACTGTAAACTCTACAAAACTTTATTTGCCAAAACATCTCATAAAGATAAATGAAGGCCACATAAAAGGTATAAGCCGCTGTTTTTATTATATTCTGAACGTACACGTGGCTTTTCCGTGTGACTCGGGGTTGCAATGTAAGCTGTTTCCAACACGCACTTTATTTACCCTTTGAAAGCAATAGGCGAAATGTGGCGACCTTGTGCGCGTGAACTCAGAGAGCGAGAGGATTGCTAAACCACACGCTACAGATGTGCATTGCATCGGATTCTCTTTAATAACTGCTCCCGTCACCTTTTGCACTGAAGAAAGGGAGAGAAAACAATATCTATTTGGAGGAGGCTTGCATTTATCTTTGAACGAGACTTTGCAACCACACCACACATCAAGTCACTTTGAAAAGATGAAAAAAAAAGGGTTTAGGAGGAAATGTAACCTGCAGTGCTGCTCGGTCGTCTAAGAAGCATTAGCTGTATGGTTTGTTTACCCGCGTGTGCACTTATGAATCCCAAGGGTGCCGCAGCCTGTGTCTAACTCACCCTGAGGGCCTGCGAGTATTTTTCACAACAAAATGAAATTTTATGGCATGCGAGATTAGCCGACACTAATGCAAGGTCAAAAATAATAGAATCAATAGGTAGGTCTGACCATGTTAACATTTACAGAAAATTACAGGCTGAAAAGCGCTGTCTAAAACAGAATGAAACGAGTCTCCGCTGAATTCGTATTGATGCCTTTTCATTATTTCTCATAATTTGACTTTTTTGTGCACTGTGGCGGTCAGCGACTGAGGTTGATCACCCGTTGTGTGGGTACAAGGGTGTGTGCGTGTGTGTGAAAGCAAGTGAGAAAAAGACTGTAATGTGCTGTAGGGTCAATGTTTCGCTGTCAGCTCCCAATGACTACTCACGACCAATCAGAACGTGTCGTCTCATTTGATCAATGACACTAACACTGTTAAGAAGGATCATGTGACCTTGATCTGTGAGCTGTGCTGATGCTTTTCAAACCTGTGGAGCACAATATAAAACCAACATTGAAGCCTTATAATAGGGAGATTCCCCAGTCCCTATGACCTGAAGAAAAAGATATGTATATACAATTTTATATAAAAACAATCAAAAACAAATACTTAAAATAAGGATACTCCCTAGAAAGTAAAGTTATCTATTTCTTGAAATTGCAATAGTTAGCTAAAGATAGATAGATAGATAGATAGATAGATAGATAGATAGATAGATAGATAGATAGATAGATAGATAGATAGATAGATAGATAGATAGATAGATAGATAGATAGATAGATAGACAGACAGACAGACAGAAAGACAGATAAATAGACAGACAGACAAACAGATAAATAGATAGACAGACAGACAGACAGATGGACAGACAAACAGACAGACAGACGATAGATATAGACAGACAGACAAACTAGATAGATAGACAAACAGACAGACAGACAGGATAGATAGATAGATAGATAGATAGATAGATAGATAGATAGATAGATAGATAGATAGATAGATAGATAGATAGATAGATAGATAGATAGATAGATAGATAGATAGATAGATAGATAGATAGATAGATAGAGACAGACAAACAGACAGACAGGATGGATAGATAGATAGATAGATAGATAGATAGATAGATAGATAGATAGATAGATAGATAGATAGATAGATAGATAGATAGATAGAGACAGACAAACAGACAGACAGGATGGATAGATAGATAGATAGATAGATAGATAGATAGATAGATAGATAGATAGATAGATAGATAGATAGATAGATAGATAGATAGATAGATAGATAGATAGATAGATGGATAGATTGATTGACTGAGAGACATACTGATAGATAGATAGATAGATAGATAGATAGATAGATAGATAGATAGATAGATAGATAGATAGATAGAGACAGACAAACAGACAGACAGGATGGATAGATAGATAGATAGATAGATAGATAGATAGATAGATAGATAGATAGATAGATAGATAGATAGATAGATAGATAGATAGATAGATAGATAGATAGATAGATAGATAGATAGATTGATTGACTGAGAGACATACTGATAGATAGATAGATAGATAGATAGATAGATAGATAGATAGATAGATAGATAGATAGATAGATAGATAGATAGATAGATAGATAGATAGATAGATAGATAGATGGATAGATTGATTGACTGAGAGACATACTGATAGATAGATAGATAGATAGATAGATAGATAGATAGATAGATAGATAGATAGATAGATAGATAGATAGATAGATAGATAGATAGATAGATAGATAGATAGATAGATAGATAGATAGATAGATAGATAGAGACAGACAAACAGACAGACAGGATGGATAGATAGATAGATAGATAGATAGATAGATAGATAGATAGATAGATAGATAGATAGATAGATAGATAGATAGATAGATAGATAGATAGATAGATTGATTGACTGAGAGACATACTGATAGATAGATAGATAGATAGATAGATAGATAGATAGATAGATAGATAGATAGATAGATAGATAGATAGATAGATAGATAGATAGATAGATAGATAGATAGATAGATAGATTGACTGAGAGACATACTGATAGATAGATAGATAGATAGATAGATAGATAGATAGATAGATAGATAGATAGATAGATAGATAGATAGATAGATAGATAGATAGATAGATAGATAGATAGATAGATAGATAGATAGATAGATAGATAGATCATGGATGGATAAAAGAAACAAATAATAAAAGAATATTTCTCAAAAAATTTCATATAAAAATATATATATTTCTCAATTTCTCAAATTCTCATTATACAAATTCAAACAAAAAGATCTTGATCTCTGTGGGTTAAGGGATTTTTATCCGTAAATTTCATTGAAACAATAAGCTCTATGCAAATAACCGATGTGATTTAAAACACATTTGATTATTAAATTGCCATTGAAATAAATTCAATCATTCCCTCATTAATAACTTATTCCAAATGGCCCGAGTAATTATGCCTTTGGTCCCAAATATTAATTCTCCGTATTCTTAAGATCTTTAAGAAACGAAATTGAACATTTCTAATAATCTGTGAGCCGAAATCAGTCACAGTGCCAGCGGAGAAGAGCATGTTTGTACATTCAGAAGAGCCGAAGCCAAACAACACCAGCTTGAACAACCCAGTGTTCCTTGATACTAGTTTTACAGCCCTCGCGTACAATGTCAATATGAGCTTGCGGCTCACGGGTGAGTGTTGTGGGCAAAGCGTCTGCTCAGATCCATTGTCACTCTCCCCCTGAAATGAAAATAACAGTTATGAACGAGCTTCTGTCGACTGCCATTGTTCCATCAAGTGTTTTTATTGCTGTCATTATAGTTTAACATCGCACTGTTAATTCTGTTAATTAAAAAGCTGATTGCTTTTGCCAGTCTGTGATCTCCATTTGGTGAGTCCATATGGTAGAAGATTACTTGTTGTAAATTTCAATGAAGTCGTATCAGAGCTGGGATACATATAATCAAGCAGTACAAGTCCTGAAATTAAGCCTATAAAACCTCAATTATATATTCCTTTGCATTCATTTTGTATACCTCCATTTCACCGAAAATCTAACTGTTGTGCTAGAATGGCAATTTAGGGAGGACGTGAAGCTTGATGATATTTCGTGTACCTGAGATGCTGAAAATGCACATTCATGTTAACGCATATAAAAAATTATGTCATATCCAGGTGTGCGGTATAAGTTAACAAGGTAAATACACAAGTCAAATGAGAATGTCTAATGGCATCCTGTAATATGCCATGATATATAATACAGGACCTTGTATTGTATAAAAAGTAGCCATTGTAGCCAATGTAAAGTCAATGGATGCATTGGACAATTTGGTATTTCTTTCCCTCTTTCCCAAATTTCTAAAAAAGGAAGATTTGGCACTATAGTACAACAAATTGAA